CTGGTATTAGGATACAGCAATATATGATAAAATACACCTTGCTCTATATGATTTTGGTTGCTGTTCCTGTATGTACTCCATCTTCAAAATTCCAGGTGGTCCCAAAAATGTGTCTTTATACTAACGATATTAAAAGAGAAGCTACCTAAATAAGTCTAGGTTTGAACCAAACTCATTGCTCCCTTTCCCCCACAATCAAAATCACACACATGTGACTAATCTTTTGGAGACAAACCCCACAGCTTTTCCAAGTTGTTTTTCAAATGTGAATGCTTTATTTTAATTGTACATTTAGACTTGGAGGACATTAATGCAAGCTGCTGAGTGCTTTTAATTTGTCTTGTCTTTTGTCACTGCATATACTGTGTAGTCTGACCCTTCTTTGGGAGAAGATACTGCTGAAAATTGCTGGAAGACTCATGTACGATGCTTGTCACAAGAAGAAATATATTTATGGAATTGGGATCAAAGGGATGCCTGTGTTTGTAGATTGCATTCTAATACAAAGACAGTTTTGTTACTTTTAAATATATCGGCTTTGAAAGTGGAATCCTAATTAAACAGTCCATGCAAAATTCTTAGCAGTTGCATCTACTTTTCCAAGTACAGTAATTTAGGAGTTAGCTGGTGAAATCCATATGAAATGCTGCAAGCTGCAGTTATATGGGATAAAGTCCACTTGGATATCAGATTTTACATTAACTTCTACAAACAAAGAAGTGTCCCTTAGCTCCAAAGTTTCTGAACCAGAGGTCATGAAGTGCTGGAAGGATAAACCAGCTAAGTTTTGTGAAAGTTTTCTCTGCTTTTGAGCTCTTCCTTAGGGTGTGCTTTATTGATGACTCTCAAAGTCAGGATACTGGGCTAGATGTAGCTTTAATTCTATCTTCTGAAGAATATTGTCTTAATAATATTTTGAATTATTTGGCCTTTATATATATTAACTGTACCTTGAAACTATTCAGTCTCTATGATGTAATGTCAGTTAAAAATCCATTTCAGAGGAGGAGGAAGATTCAACCAAATCAAAAACTAATGCTCAAACAAGCCAAGAGTCTTTTCTCATTTAAAAATAAAATAAACCAAACTTTGCACACTCCCCATAGTTAGGATATATAATAAGATATGTAAGAAAATGTCCAAGAACAAAACTGGACTCTTTAAAAGAGCCTCTTAAATAAGAATATCAGAGAATGATTTGGGTTGGAAGGGACCTGGAAAATCATCTAGTTCCAATCCCTCTTCCATGGGCAGGGACATCTTCCACTAGACCAAGTTTCTCAAAGTCCCTTTCAAACTGGCCTTGAGCACTTCCAGAGATGGGCAGCCTGGGTCAGTGCTTCACCACCTTCTCAGGAAATAATTTCTTCTCAATATCTAATCTAACCCTACCTTCTTTCAGTTTAATGATAAAACCCTTTGTCCTATCAAATTCCAAATGTGGGATATGGAATTTAAGATATATTATTATAATTTCCTATCTGCATGTATACAGAAACCAGGAAAAAGGATCAATGGTTGCTAAGCAGACAAAAACAGAGCTAAACCTTATTTCTGAACTGGTTCATAGGTACTAGTTATAACTTATGTCAAGGTTGTTAGCTTGTTTCATGTAAGTGTTTATAAAAAGCAAGTGTATTGCGTATATATTTTTCTGTATGCTTACTTTTCTGTCATGTGTTTATGTAGCTTTGTATATAGGATATGGCTTGTTTGCAAACATGTATGCAGCTGAAGTACAATACAGCAAATGTTTAACACTTCACCTGTCAATGGGCTCAAGTAGCTTTGTATATAGGATATGGCTTGTTTGCAAACATGTATGCAGTGAAGTACAATACAGCAAATGTTTAACGCTTCACCTGTCAATGGGTTCAGCAGGACTAATTATCTGCTTACTTATGTTCATAGAAGTACTAGAGGTTTGAGTCCTTAAGCTGTAAGCTCTGTGGTGATGTTTTAGGCATATTTACATCTACCATATCTGGGAACAAAACTCTAAAAGAAAATAACAATAGTAAAAGCTTAAACTTTTGTGCTGCTTCTATACAAAATATAGGCTCCATTTTTGAATTGGAGCACACCAAGATCCCAATCACCAATAGCTTATTTATATCTTTAAAATATAAAATGAGGTGATAGAAGTGTAAAACATTTTCAGCCCTTACCTTCACATTCTTTGGTAATGAAAATCAAAATTATGACATCAGCATCCCTTTCAAGCCAGCTAACTGATGCTGCAGCATTATGAGTCATCTCTTTTAACACCAAACTGCTTTTTTTAAAAAAAAGTTTTAATGGTGAGAAAAGGTTTGAGGGTGATATGTGTACAGATCTGACTCTATTCATGGAACATAGGTAAAAGCAGTCAAAGTTCAGGATTAACTCTATGAACTAGAAAGGTAGCTGCATTTTTTCAGCATCTTGAGCTCTTTGCTGATACTGCTCATGAACACAGTGGTTTGAGATGTTCAGTCTGCCTGCTGTAACTGCACTGGACACAGTGGTGGATTGTACATAATTGTGTAAGGCACTGAATAGCTACAGAGTGAGAGCGTTTAATCTGTCACCAGGAACTTAGATGTGAAGTTCTTCACATGGCCTGTGCTGGGACCAGCAGCAGAGCAGAGCTCCTGAGCTGCTCCCTTGTTGCATTTGTCACTGTAGCTGTCACACTTCCTTGCACTTGCTGCACAGCCATGGTGCTGCTGCCACCAGTGGTGGTGCCCCAAGGGTGCCATGACAGAGTGACTGAATCAGGACAGTGGGATCAGGCTGCCCAGGACAGTTCCTTCGGGGCCTGTATCCTTTCAGGCCCTTAAAAGTAAGGTAATTGGGAATTTACTTTTCAGAACACAACGCTTCAGTTCAAGCCCACCTTTCTCCTAGGCAGTAGGCACTATGGCAGCCTCTAGCTATGGCATAACATGCTCTGCTTTGCCAAGGGTTGCTGTGGTGGATGAGGACAGTTGCCCAGTGTAGTTACATTGTATACTGGTCTTGAATGACTGTTTTGAGTTCAAAAATGGTGAGGCAACTGTTGACACTCTTCAGCACCAACGCACAGCTTGCAGGTTTCCTCTCATGGTCATCATGATTGCCTCTTGCCTATAAAATTAGTTAATCCTGGTTCCTGAGGATGACTGGAAAATCAGGTCAGTGTAGCTTGATTGAACTGCCACATCATCCAGGTCTTCCATCAGTCACATTACTGCACAGCTGAGGTCTTCAAAGGTTCACATGCTGTAGAGTTTCATACTTTCTCTGTATAGGCAGGGGAAGAAGAGTTAGGAATAATGTCAAGATCTTCATTAGGGCCCACCACAAGGAGCTTTGACTGTTCAGGATTATAACTCATTCTTCTACGCTTTCTTGTTCACAAGTTCAGGGATGGTGACGATTATCATTGATTATTTATGGGGTCTGTGATGAAGTCTTCCAAATAAATATGTACCATCTGGTTTTCAGATCTTGGGCATCTTCACTAGTGACAAGGCAGCACTCTCTTCTCCAAAAGGACTGTGATATTGTCAGCCTTAGAGTATATGTCTAATTACTAATAACACTGCTCGTTGCTATTCCTTCTCATCGTCCTGCTGTACTAAGTGTTGATGAAACACACCCTGAGCTCTTGCAGACAGATAACAGATGTGCCTGGCTGCACCAAACAGACCACTGAGGGCAGTTTCCTGATCATCATGACAACTATAAGTCACCAAATAATACCACAGTTGTCAGGTATGCATTAATGAAAGCATAGTAATGCAGCCATAATTTGTCTGTAACTTGGAATCCTTCAGGTTAGAGTGGATGCTGCAGAACAGAGCTTCCCAGGTATCTTGGATGCAAATTAATATTTATTATGGGGGGGCAGTGTGGTTGCTCCAAGAAAAAATAGCAGTCCAAATGCATACCATTTGCTATGACATAGTACAGCTGCTAACAGCAATTTACCTGTACTTACTCCTGAAAGTTGCAGTGAGGTATTCTTGGAGATCCTGCCATAGATTCATCTGATCATTCATATAGCACTACTTAAGCCTGGACATTCATCAGGGAAATGACGCTCTGTCATTTTGAGCTGTTCCCAGGTACTTCTTGGTCTCGGAGTTGAAGGAAGCAGTGGAACAATGAAAGTTAATATCTCTTCATCACAGGTATATGTGGAGATGGAGATATTTGTTCGTGGTAGTTTGGAGAGGTACAATTCACTGGAAGTTCCCCACACACAGCCTGCAGAGACATTCACATCTCAAGGACACTAACTTTGTATAAACACATGCTGGAATCATTTTAGTGACCATCGCTGAGGAGAATTCCTTGGTGAGCAGTGGTGGGTGCAGTGACAGCACCTGCTGGCAGATGTGAACAAAAAAGGAATGGCATAATCCTGGAGGTAGCCTGAAAGACCTGGCAGCAAGAGCATGGCATGTTTTTTGAGAGCATTTTTCTATTTTTATGATGTGTAGGCAGCAGAACATCACTTGCCTGCTTACCTTCAGATGGAATTCCTTGGTAGGAATGAGCACCCCATCAGCCCTGTGGCCGTGCATGATGTGACTGGGTGTAACTAGGTGGTGACATATGTTCTTATCTAAACAAGCACCTGTGGCTGGTGCCTTGCCAACAAAGTAGTACCAGTCATTGTACTTTGCCCTATGGACTTCCACTTTCTTTCCTTCTGAATAAGAAGAAAGAAAAATTTCCCTCACTTTAGGAGTTTTTGTCCAGCCAATGCCCATCACCTTTGCTGTGTGCAGTGTTAGCTGGCCAGGGCTGCCACAGGGGCTTGGGAGAGGCTGGCACTGGTGGTCTGCAGCAAGGTCCCCCTGCATTCTTGTGCTGTCTTGGTGCCAGAAGAAGCCAAGATAGAGAAATAGCATCTGGACCCAGCCCAAAGAATTGTGCAGCAACTCTTAAAATCTGTAGCTCAGCATAGATTGGGAAACAATATTTAAATACCATCCTCGTGCCCTCATGATTTTTTCAATTTCTTGAAGTTGAATAAGCGACTCTTGTCATTTTATATGAAGACAACCTTTGGTGGATCATTTGCAGTCTCTTCTTGCTACTGGTGAGTATTACTGTCAGCAAAGTCCAAGGCATGAATGTAGCAGTTTTAAATCTTGATTAGTTTCTTAGTCTCCTCTTAGGTGTATACAGCATCTGCCAAAGGTGCATGTAAGTGAGGTGGCTGTTCTAAAACTTGTTGGTCATGTGTATCTGTAAGGTGATGAGGCAGGAATGTGGGTATTAGGATATGACCCAAGGGGTTGGAAGGGTGTGTGAAGTCACAAGGGCTCATCCTTTGCAGGATAAAAAAGCCCGAACAACTGGGATCTTGCATAGGTTGTGCCCATGCAAGGGCAGGGCCCGATGTGAACTATTCTCTAGTCTCTGCCCATATTTCTCCACCTGAGAAACAATTTGTTTTGTCCCAAAGCAGAAGCTGAGTGTAAAGTTATACCAATGCAGTGATTGCAGCAGCATACGGTGCTGTCTGAAATGGCTGCTTTGAAACTGGTAATTGCTTTCTGTTACTTGTTCTTAACACACTGAGAGAAACAAGATGTTGTGTACCTTTTTTGCAAATAAACAAGATTGCATCAAAGACATATTGATCCTATCAATTTCTCGTCCTGACATAATCTGCAGGATCTCAAGTATAGGCTGGCTGCTTTAAGCAGCAGACAGAACACTAATGGAAGCTAATTTAAATTTCTATTTGCAGCCCTCATTTAGAGGTGCATAAACTTCAAACACAAAACCCTATATTTCAAATATAAAGTTAAATAATAATTTGCTGGATGAACTACTGTCTGAAAATATACAACACACTCCCCTTTTGGAATGATACACAAAGATCTTCTGTGCTTTGAAATGATTCATAGCAGATGGGAAGTAAAAGGATCATTAATTGATTCTTCAAATAAAAGATCACAAGTGTAACTGAGAGATCCTGTTGGAAAATCAAATGGACTAAATTTCCAAAGAAGCTTGTGCTTTTCACAGAAGTCTGCTGGCAGAATTTCAAATCAGCTTGATGATTAAACAGCAGGTCATTTAAAGTGTGTTTATGTTAACAAGCCTCTGTAACCATATTCATACTAGGGCAAGGCAAAGTGCACAAAGTGTTTGTTAGATTATAATTAGATTAGATTACTTTCCATTATGTATTGGTAAAGGCAGCCCATGGGCTGGCTCATGTTTCAGGTCACTCTGCTGTTCCTGTTTGTGCAGCAGTAGCTCTGGGTAAGGTATCTGCATGACAATATCCAAAAGCCCTGCCCAGCAGTTTTAAGTAGTGACCCTTGCACTTTTTTGGCCCATGATCCTGTACATGCCACCACCCATTTTTATTATCAAACTTTAAACTGAAAATAGGACAAAAGTGATATGAGCAATGCAAGGTTATATTTCGTAAGTCTTTGGGCTCCTTGCAAGCAAATCTCTAGATTATGCTGCATTAAATTATATTCTTCTTGGTCTGTCAGTGCCACTGGAGAAACAAACCTGTAATTCATAACACCAGAAATTAGTGTTAACTACTTTGCAGTGTTCAAACCTGTTTATTACCCTTACCACCCATACTTTTTGCAGGCTGTGTAATCTCATGTGTTCCATTTTTGAAACCCCAGAAATGCTATTTTTTTTACTTCTATTTCATTAATTCACTTGATATGTGTGAAGGCACAGTAGTCACACTGACACTTCTGAAGAATGTTTCAATTCTTTGTTATTACATAATTTCTTGATTAGTTTTTATATGGTGTGGTTTAGCACAGCAGTATAGACCCACCCACTGCATCTCAAAGTGTAATCTCTCTGACTCTTAAATGACATTTTTCCATTTTCTTGGATAATGAATAATTTGCAATGTGGGCCTGTAAAGAATTTATGTTCGTATTTAAATATCTGCAAAATTTACAGATTTACTTTTTCATTTTGAAAGCTCTAAGGTAACAGAAAATGTTTCACGTACTGGTCTTCCTTCTTTTTCCATAAAGAGCTTTTCTTCTGCAGATTGCAAAAACACTTCATAAACTGTAGCTTGTAAGATATATGACTTTGTAAGGTGGTTGGTGGTTCCACTGTCAGAAATTAAGAATGAAATAGAAAAATTATGCTTAAGCCAAGTCTGTATGTAATATTAAAAGGGATATGTAGATATAGTATATATTCACCTATGAGTATAGGTGGGGTGAGAGAAGTCTAAATCTTACAAGTCTGGGAAAACATTTGTGAATTTACTGTGTATTATGAGTTCTGATGTTAAATTATTTTGTCCCACACTAGGAACAGAAAAGGCTCGTTTAAGATTAAAAATTGAGATGTTAAGGTACAACTGAGAGATTCATCAACTATATGAATTAAAAAGATCCAGTGAGAGAAAGCATTTAAACTCCCATATTGCCAGAGGATGCAGTCAGACAAACCAAGGAAGCAACTGCTACAAAGATCAGCCCACCTTGGAGTTATGGAGATAGGGATCTGAGCTCAGGGAGGAAAAGATGCAGAGATAAAGGCACACTGTAGGCAAAGAGGAAGAAAACAAGGAATAGCCTGGAAGATGCAAAGAGGCTACTCTGAGTCCATCATGCAAGTAATCTGAAACACAGACAATCTCTTTTTTAAATCTTGTCTGGAACTACATTTTCCTTGCTTCATGTCTTCCTCTCAACATACTTTTTTCCTTGCATGAGTTGTGGAGTTTGGGGGAAGTAGAGCATATTCTTTGCAATCTGTTACAAATATGAAGCTTAGAACCAGTCCCATTCCAGTCAGCTCAGGAAAGATCAGCACACCATTGCACTCAGTCACCTGAATTCAACTAGTGTTCTGAGAACACCCTGTAGAAATGGTTAATGACTTAGAGCTTCATATGGCAACCAGGGATCACAATTTCTAATGAAAAAATATTTACCATCCAACTATGGCTTTCTTGGAAATTGTTATTGTCTTGGTAATGAGATATGGTGAAAATCATCTGGACTAAATTAATCAGGTAGTGGTAACTGCTTAATTCCACTGTGGTGGTGCTGCACAAGTATTTACTGAATGAAGATGTCAACTAACAATTTTATATTACTTATTAAAGCCAGACCCAAGATCTGTTTAGAACTTTTATCAAAATTTTACTGTACTTTGCCAAACTGTACTTCCTGACTGCCACTATGACACAAAGAGAGGGGTTTTTTGCTTAAATATTTATATATATCTTTATTTGGTGCTGCACAAGTATTTACTGAATGAAGATGTCAACTAACAATTTTATATTTCTTATTAAAGCCAGACCCAAGATCTGTTTAGAACTTTTATCAAAATTTTACTGTACTTTGCCAAACTGTACTTCCTGACTGCCACTATGACACAAAGAGAGGGGTTTTTGCTTAAATATTTATATGTACCTTTATAATATAATGTCATTTCAATACAATATTATGTCTTACAAATTGATTCATTATTCTGAACTACTGATCTGGCATAAGCTAAGCTGTCATCACTGCCTGATCACAGAGCTCCCTACATCATTTTGATCTCTTTCCAGCTTTGAAGTTTCATCTTCCTTGTCAAGATCTGGAAGTGCAGCTCAGGATGTTTGTGCCCGCAAATCAGTAGTAGGTAAGTGCCATCTTAATGTCTCAGACAGCAATATATTTTAATACTTATCCATTTAAATTCAGTATGTAAAACTCAAGCTACACACGAAATGCATTGAACCTTCATGAAAACTCGAAAAGGAAAATTGTTTATTGTGCTTCTAATGTGGAAGCAGATGTTTAAGAAAGTGTGCCTCAAGAATGAACTTGATGCATCAGTGCTGTGAAGCTTTACTATATTGGTTGTTGGTGTTGAAAGTCAGGAAGTCTGATGTGAGAAGCATGACTTAGAACAAGGTCTTTTTCAGACTGGATGCTTTAAGTATGAAATTTGTCATTATGTAGCCAGTCAATTACCTGATTTTCAAATGCTGTTTACACAGGATTCTATCTGGTCTGCTTTAGATGTTCATTCCATTAAAAACAACACACTGGAAAGCCAGATCTTAGAAATTCTTTGGGGGCACAACACATAGGATGCCTTCAGGCACAACAGCCATTTTATAAGCTCTGTCAGCCTCTTCTCTTAAGGGCTTTTTAACACCCTGCATGTTGTCTTGTGTCATGATCCAACATACCCCCATGAGGTAACTGATACTATCGTTATCTGAAACTATCTCAGAACAAAGTAAAGGAATTAAGAAACCTCTGCCAAGGCACAGATCCTGCTAACTGATTAACCACTGTCTCAAACTGTTTACTTAGAGTGCTGCTTGAGGCCCCTATGAAGTCAGTCTATACACTTCATTAGGCATCCTGATGGAAGAAAAATGGAAAAGGTGCTTTAAGATCCTAATTACCTCCATACTTTACCCCAGTCATTCCAAACATGCCATTGTCATGATAGCTCCAAGGATTTTTCAGGAAGTTCTAGAAACAGTTGGGGAATTTAAACTTCACTATGCCTCCTAGCTTAGAGAAATAGCATACTGCATTTCCAACTATTTGTGGGCAAGTCATGTAACAAAAGCTGGGTTTTACTGTGAGCATCTCATTGGTTTTATTGCCTATCCAAATTTAGTAATTAATTTTAAAAAAACAGCACAATCTATTACAGATATTGTACAGCAAATACAGTGATCTAAAGTTAAAACTCAGAACATTAATCAAATTGAATTTTTCCTGTTACTATAGCAGATCTCCACAGGAAGGTGAGTCTTGTCTCACTGTACTTATGCAAAGTTAATGTGTAAATTATTCACTTTCTAATCAGTCATCATCAATAGTATATGTTTATTCACAAGTAGGAGCAAGAGGCCCAAGTGCTTCTGTATGGGATCTACAGCTGACATTCCAGCATTACTGATATTCATAGTCCTGTAGCTTGTTAACCACTTGCTGTCATGTGAACCAAAAGTACAGCAAATACAGTGATCTAAAGTTAAAACTCAGAACATTAATCAAATTGAATTTTTCCTGTTACTATAGCAGATCTCCACAGGAAGGTGAGTCTTGTCTCACTGTACTTATGCAAAGTTAATGTGTAAATTATTCACTTTCTAATCAGTCATCATCAATAGTATATGTTTATTCACAAGTAGGAGCAAGAGGCCCAACTGCTTCTGTATGGGATCTACAGCTGACCTTCCAGCATTACTGATATTCACTGTAGCTTGTTAGCCACTTTTAGGGACCTAAATGTTTGCTGATCACATCTCCTAGGTACTTTAGTTTCTGCTGCTGGGCAAACACTTTATGAGAGGACGATCAGGCTTTCCCAACATCAAAACATGGCATTTGTGACACAATACTTAGCTAAAGACAGCTTTTGTTCCAGACTAATTTTCTGAACTTCAGACTGTCTTTCAGGTCCAAGTAAACTCGTAGTTCATTAGTAGCAGGCCATCAATCCTACAGATGATTGAAATGGTTTTAAAGATCCTCAGAAATAAAGAAAAATTATCTGAAATAATCTAATAAACACATCTGGATTTTTTTATTAGGATCATTGTATTTAGTTTGAAATATCTTGAATTAATCATTCCAGATTGATGTTAGAAATTACTGTAAGAATAAGGTATCTTAAATTGTTACTTATAGGCCTGAATTAGTGATCAGAGACATCTCTATATCCAACTTCTTGTTATCTCTAAAGTGCGTGTTTGGAATTGTTCATGACACATCTGGAATTTTTTATTAGGATCATTGTATTTAGTTTGAAATATCTTGAATTAATCATTCCAGATTGATGTTAGAAATTACTGTAAGAATAAGGTATCTTAAATTGTTACTTATAGGCCTGAATTAGTGATCAGAGACATCTCTATATCAAACTTCTTGTTATCTCTAAAGTGTGTGTTTGGAATTACAATTATTTTGTAATGAAGACTATTTTTGTACAGCATACAGAGTGAAAATGTAAAAGCAGCAAAAAGCTAGAAAGTAGTAAGTTGGAGTTCAGAAAAAGACTGTTTTCTTTTGGCTGACAATGTTATATAAAGATTTCAAAATTAAGAATAGAGACAAAGTTTACTTTAAATTCCAGTGCACCCAACTTAACCTTTCAGAGCTCTCTCTGCAAATTCTGGGAAACATTTTGGACAGACTAGGATAAAAGTAATATTTCAGTCACAATATATCACTGCTCTTCCAGTTAATTACAAATGATTGCTTACAAGTAGAAATTTTCACACGATTCCACTCCACTCTCCAATTGTGAGAGTGAAATTTTGTACTATCATAGTTACAGAACAAAAACTGTGGACCTTTAACAGAAAAGTTAACTTTTGCTAGAAGGATGTAACATCTCATTATATATTAATTCAGTAACTATTAATTTAGTAACTCTTTTAAAAAGAGCAGTCCAACATATCCACTCCACTCTCCAATTGTGAGAGTGAAATTTTGTACTATCATAGTTACAGAACAAAAACTGTGGACCTTTAACAGAAAAGTTAACTTTTGCTAGAAGGGTGTAATGTCTCATTATATATTAATTTACTAACTTTTTTAAAAAGAGCGGCCCAACATCTCTCATATTTATTACTTCTTTTGAATGATATCAACAATAGCTTGTTCTGAATTAATAAAAAACTTGGAGGTTGGTAATTTAATTGGAGGATAATTCAGTTTCTTTACCTAAAAGTAACCAAGGTTAAAATCATATGCAGCCAAGTTATTATTTTCGCCAGACTTAACTCATACTTTTTCCTAATAGTGATGAAATCCTTTTTAGTTGTTAGTAGTTGAGGTTGAGAGAAAAGCTTTGTGTGAACTTTGTCTGAATTGCAGAAAAATTACATTTTAAATCTTCAAAAGAAGTAAAAAGAGATAGATATTGTTTGTAATTAGGAAACTTATTTCTGTACCTACTCCAGATTGTGTGACAAGTGATTTAAACATCTCTATGTGTGCTTTCCCAGTGGAAGAATAGTCACAGGAGTATTCACTTCTGCATAATTAATATTTGAAAACCATAATACATGTGAAATGTATTACAGTGACACTTTCTGAATATAGTTCTCTCTTTACCACAAGGTTGCCTTGCTAATTGCCTAAAAGTATTTTGATCAGAGCAATAATATTATAGATTATACCCTGGTATGTTAATCCACTTGTGCTTTTGCAATTTTAAAATTACAATAACTTTTGGAAAACTGAATACTTAAAAAAATTAATATTTATCAGTGAGGAAATAAATGTTTCTTACATTATAAGGCAGTAAAATTTTGTGTTTTATCCCAAATATTAAAGTGCATGTCTCCAGCTAATTTGTTGAAAGATTCAATTTGCATATAGTCATAGAACGTCAGTAAAATAACCCTTTGAATTTGATCTCCCTTTTGAGCTACAACTTAGAATTTCCCAGTGATAATAACTTTGGTGGAACACAAGGAGGAAATGTAAGCTAAGTTCTCCAGAAAATCAGAATTTCAAATGGGGGGGTGGGGGGGGAGAAGGCACTTTGTGTTTAAATTTATAATTATCTTTCTATTAAGGATGAAAAGATGCTTTTGACGGGAGGGTTGAAATCTCTCCTTCCCCATGTGCTCAGAAGAATAATTCAGTGCAACAGACTCAGTAGTAGTAATACTTCTGGAATGGCAGAAGGTAAGTAAACCTAACAGCTCTCTGTGCAAAGTGATTCTATTTTAGATTCATAACTATGTGTTTTTTGTTTGTAAAGGATTGAAGAAATACCAAAAGCACCAAAGTAAAACAGAAGAAAATATTATGTTCTTTGGTGTTTTGGAAATCATATTGTAAGCACCTGACTCTGTTTTTTAAATCATAAAGATATATCAGAGGAAATACACCATCCTACCTGAGTAATGTACATGGATGTTGTTTTCAGTGTTTGCAGAGCATCCCTCAGCTTCCAATTGAGAAATGATGGATGTAGAAAATATTTTTTAAATCTTTAATCAAATCTCTGTTTCCTTGCGTGTTATTATCACATTTGTAAGATGTTCTTTACTATGTTCTTCACAGAGACCTTGCTTTAGTTTGCACATTAGATATGCTTTGGGGAAGAATTAGAGACATATTGTTACAGGAGTGGTTTTCTGCTTCATTTGTTGCAGAAGGTGAAGATTACTGGGTCACCAAGGCCGGGAATTATAAGGGAGAGGAAAAAATTAGTTTTATACTCAGATAACTGAATGCATTCTTAAAAATTGATTTCTGTCTTGCCTTTCATAGCTGGACTTCTACAGAAGCAGAGAAGTCTGTCATTGTTCTGCTCAACTTTAAAAAATAAGATAAACAAAAATCCAATGGCAAATAGCCAATCAACAAAGCTGTGTGTACAATAGTAGCACTACTATAAAATATGTTAAAGGTCATATTTTAGAACTGTAGTGAGTCTTGAAATTGTGGTTTTCTATCAGTTCCTAAGTTGAAAAATACTAATGGAAGACATTTTATAATGTTAATAATTTGCAGTTTGCCCCAGACAAATTTTTTAAGTGAATTTATTGCTGCAGTAGTTTTAAATGTATTAGTTCTAACATTTTTAGAAGTATAAAACAAGTTGATCAACAAACAGTTTCATTATACGAAAAGAACCATTGTAAGAAATTGTCTTTCATTATTGTTAACCAATTCTTTCTTACTGTCCTCATTGTCATTCACCATAGAAGTTAAAAGTTCTTGCTAAACTTCTCTGAACTTGGACATGAGTGTGTTGAATTACTGCCTGGGTTGGCCAACACATCCATCCCTGCTACATTGCTTGTGAATTCATAATTCATAATGATGGCTCCATAATGCAAGTGAGTCCATCAGGAGATATGGGTTGTATACAAGAAGAAAAGTTAGCTATCAGGAGGAGCAATAAAGTTCTCAAAGTGCTGTAATGAAGCTTCCTGAGTTTATTGAGTATTTGCGTGGAAATTCAGCCTCTCATCTGTAACTAGTATGTGAAACTCAGTGTTGTCAGTTGAATGCCCTGACTAAACCCATAATTTTAAGACGTCATTAATATAACCAGTAAAGCAGAAAGTGGATTTCTCATGGATGGCAGGGAATGAAATTGAGGGGTAACCAAACTAAATGTTTTATTCAGTGGTTAATGTAGTATGTTTATTTAGCAAAAATATTTTTCTGTATTTAGCAAGAATCTCATTCTGTATTTAGTAACTTTTTCTAGTAATAAAATGAATTTTTGTGCTGACTACTCCCAAGAGAGCAGTTTGTGGACAAATTCAGTATGCAAATGCATGCTTACCTCAGCCTTTGCTTTGCATTTTTCCATCAGGAATAGAATTCTCTTTGGATTTCTCTGTTAGCTTTAGTCAAGAGTAAGATATGGCTTATTTTCTACAGCCTTTGAAGGCAGCTCATTGATTTCAACTAAATTATTGCCTCTTTGATGACAGACTACTGCAGTATTTAAGAAAGTGAGTGCTTCTGTGCAGCCTCCTACTCACCTGCCTGATATCAGACAGTAATAACTCTTCAAGAGAGAATTGGTACAGCATTTAGGGATTATTAATTGCTGGGTTTATACACCTCAGACCAGTTGTACTCCAGATTTCCTCCCATTATTTGAACAGTTGATATTTCCATGCAGGAAAGTTTAAATGACATTGGTATTAACTGCTACTGTTAAGAAAATAAATTTTTGCTCAATGAGACCTTTCTTCAGTGCTACTCATTGCAGAAATGTTAATGTTTTTAGAAGCTATTTCATAGTAGTAGTCAAGAACCTTTTAAATCAAAGTTGTTTCCAAGTGAAGAAAGTGTAGCAGTTCTGTTTTAGTTTGGGTTGGTTTTTTTTCCTAAGTAGAAATTAAATTGAACTTTAATTAGAAATTACTGACATTCAGTGGACAGTCAAAAGTTTATTCCTGAGTTGTAATCATACCTCTTTAATTGAGGCCCACATTAAAATTCCCTAGCCAAGAAATTTTAAAGAATGTGCTATGAACATCAAGATACCAAGAGTTTACTTTTGGATTGATTTATATCTTGGTGTGGTGAAAAATAATTGTGAAAGTGTGGTATGTGATAGCCTTTCTTTGGCTCTGAGTTAACATTTGCAAATAAAGCATATTCCTATATGCTAATGTCCCCAGTTAGAAAGGAAATTATGTTTATATATAAATGAATTAAAATGTTTCTTAATTTTGGTGTCTTCATATTTTGCTACTACCCATGTCTGCCAACTGTTTGAGCTGTGAATGACTTCACATATAGAGTAGGCCTAGCTATGATTTTTAAAGCATTTCAAGAAGTTTGGTCTAATTACAGAGTTCTGAATCAAAATTTTCCTTTGGGTAATTCTTATAAACCATCTAAAAACATTAATACAGAAAAGTTATTGTTTCACAAACAAAAAGCTGAATTAATAACCAGCCTTTCCTACCTTCCACAATTTAAGGCTATAAACGGGCCAATGTTGTGATTTTGCACAAGTCCCTGGCTGATGACTTTGAGAAGTTCTGCCATGCAAATGATGGACCCCTGCCACTGCTGTACAGAAGCCAACCAGGTGACTGGAAATGTCCTTCCCTGAGTGGTGATTCTGATATCAGGTAACTACAGACCAACTCTGCTGACCAATATTCTGAAGTGAATGCTGGTGGTGATTAGGAGAATTTGAGGAAACAGCCTACTTACACTGTTAAAGATTTTGAACAATGTTATTTTCTTGGAGTTATACCTTTGAGTGAAAGCCATGTGTAACAGCCTGATTATCTTGTTCCTGAGCCACATGTTATGATAATTGTCAGTATTACGAGTTATTTCTCTAATCCAAAGGTGAAATTTTGTGTAATTTTTAAATATTTTGCAGTCTGAGCCTGCAGAATTCAATAATAGGGTTTTATATTTATTTTATTTACTAGAAACATGGCCATGGTGTCTGCATGAGACTTGTAGAGTCTCTGAAATTTGAAATATGTACTCCTATGGTAAACACTAAAAAAAAGGTTTAAACCAGCTCTCTCATTTTTGAAAGCCTGAGACAAGATATGCATAAGGGGCCTTTACCTATAAAACCTAGAAAATCTCACACTCTATAACATTCTGTCTGCCAGCTTGGTTTTGTGCAGAATAAGATGTTCTGTGGGTTTTGCCTGTGTTTGTTTCGTTATTAGTCAGAAAGAACAAAATGGATAAAGCAGGCTGCATCGTGTGGTTTCACACTGGGTTTATGTCAATTCAACCAATTCACCTTGTTTTTAAAAAATGTGACAAAGCTGTGATAACTTCTTATTTCACTAGAACTGACTGCCTACAGTACAGAAAATACGAGCATGGAGTTTGTACTGGATCACTGAAAAGCCTTAAGGAGTATTCTGAGCAACTCAAGGACATGGTGACTTTTTATTTAGGCTGCAGCTTCTCTGTTGAAAAAGCACTCCAAAAAGCTGACATTCCTATCAGAAACGTTGAGCAAAAATGTAATGTAAGCATGTACAAAGTAAGTATTTGCACACACACAATCTTTGTTGTAATTTTGCCTGTGACTTTTGCCCATATTCAGATTAGGTGCATATACCAACTGTTCAAATCAGAACTTTTTTTCTCTATCTACACAGTAACTTAAGCCATATGCTAGTGCTGAGCACATGAAAATATAGGGTAAAATATTCCCAACCTCAGTTCAGTGTAAGGCCAATCTCCTTTTTTATTCATTTTTCATGACAAAGCTTTCCCCATTTCCTGTGGCAGCCATTTCTTGTGGGCTCTGGTTTGCCCTCTCTGTTTCATCCAGTGATCCATGCACTGTTCTGATCATGTCTTTACATGTGTCCTGCCCTCCATACCAGCTCCTGTTTGCAGCTGGTGTATTCCTTTTATAAACCATGACCATAGTGGTTTCTTCTGCATGACAGCCACGTGCTGGATTTTTCCTGTGACAGTAGAGCCTTTAAACTGCACGTTTACTACAAACCCAGGCTCTGAGCCAGAAGATGTTCCCAAAGACTTGAGGTGCCTACCATAGCACTGAAAATTATGACTGTGCTCAAAAAGTTTGTGGTGTACATTTTAATGATAACAGAAGTCTTAGAATAATTCTGGCTCCAGTAAATAAACCCCTTAATACTAAGAACATTGACCTATGCATCTGCATGCCTATTTAATTTAGTTCAGATGCTGTGCTACTGGAGAAAGGTTATTGTTGTTTTCAGTGTTATTCTTACACAATCTATGCTATGCTCCTGGTCAAAAATGAAGGTGCAAGCGTATCTCATATGTGAGTCCTTCTAGTCCTTCTACCAAGCTTAAAGAAAAAAATACAACTATGTATCTGCTTCTAGAATTTCAGAATTAGGAAAATTTTATAGTTTATAGCACATTAATGCTGTGAAGAACTGCACAGTGTGTTTCTTCAGTGACAGGTGTGATTATTATTATCATTATAAAGGCTTTAAATGAACGTTTTCTTGACAGCTCTTGCTCTCTGGATGTCTTGTTTCTTCAGTGACAGGTGTGATTATTATTATTATCATTATAAAGGCTTTCAATGAACGTTTTCTTGACAGCTCTAGCTCTCTGGATGTCTTGTTTATGTTCAACTGCAGCTTAGAAATCTGACATTTTTTCCTAAAAAGCTGACCTGCTTTCTTTCTAAATAGAAAAGGTGCCTTAGCCTCCCAGTTGGTGAGGATGATGAATTGCATAGAGCCTTTGTAGAGGCATGAACTCTTTGTATGTATGGAACTGTCATGCAGCTTCTGTACAAGAGGACACTGCCATCAGCAGTTGCTGACCCTGGCATGTTACAGGGCACTGTATTCAACTACAGAGGGTAGAGTCAGTCTTTTTGTAGGTGTGCCATAATTTTCTATTAGCTTTTTCACCTTCAGTAGGGGGAACACACCATTGTTTTGAGACAATATTCAACGTACTGAGCTCATCTTGCTGTATGCACCAAAACAAGGAATGCATTAAGTTGAAAATTTTAGTGATCTATATGATGGAGCTAAATTATGGAATCTTAAAAGAAAAAAATACAGGATCCCAAGAATTTTTTTCAAAAGGATTTAAAATAAGTGTTAGAATGCAGCATTTCTAAACTCAAGTGAAGCACAAAGATTTAGTTTTATTTATTCTGATGTTTTAGAAGTATTGTTCAATATTCCTGCTAACACTGGATTCTTTTGAACTGCCAGACATCTGTGCCTTGCTACAGCATTTCTATGTTTCACTGCAACTTGGTAGTCACAATGAGACCTATTCCTGAAAGCAAGTTGGGAGCAGCTGTTCTAGCAACGTCTGAATTAAAAGAAGCCCATGGAGCACCAATTCACATCGGTGACCCTGGTCAGTGCTTCCCATTTCTCATTCTGCATGCACCTGACTGTGTATACAAGTGAAGGGGAAGAGCATGGGAGGTGGTAGGACTGAAATACCTGCACCACTTCATCTCTTTTAATTCTTTCTAATGGTCACCTGAATATAAAAGGAAAAAGGAAAGAAGAAGAAGGAAAAAAAAGGTTTTGAGTGAGCTGAACACACAGATTTCTGAGATAAAAGATAGTTGTTGGATATAGTTAAGTTATGTGGGGAGGTGGTTTTGGTAAAAAGTGTAATCACATTTTTCTGAAATGTGTGCAGTTTCATTTATATGTGAGTACTCTCTTGCTGTCAGAGATTCCAGTGACAGGATAGCAATGACTGACAGCATGGGGAGAAGTATGTGTGGAGGCATTTTGTGCCTTAGTGGCTGAATATGAAAGTAAATACTGCATTATTTTAAAAAATACTGAAATAGCATACAATGAGCACAACACTTAAGACAAAATGAATAGAAATATGACAAGATTTTCTTTTACATCTAGTTTGAACAAAAATGAAAAAAAAAATAGAGGAGGTTTTTTGAAAAGGAACAAAACCAAACAAACACCTGTAATATGAAGATAGATTGCAATGATTTCCCCCCTGCTGTCAGAAGTTTGGTAGTCATGGGCTACATACACAGAAGGATCACATTGCAGGGCATGGAAGGAGATGTCATTGGTTAACACGACATTCCAGTAATGTACTTGAGTAATATATCTGAGTACTTAAGCCTGACAAACTAGTAATAAGTCATTACAAAAAAGCAAATTAACATATATACAGATTATATAAACTAATTTCAGAAAAGAGAGTGGTATATTAAAGCATCTGAAGAATTTAAAACCAAGGGAAGATAGCAAGTGCTTAGAATGACCCAGATTATTACAAGTAGGTGTTAGAATAAAGCAAAAGAAAATTTAATGAAAGGCAGCTAAGAGTGAGATGTATTTATCTAAGACAGAGTGGAAAAGAGAGATTGATCATTTCTCTAGCTAAAGTTAACACAGTGGAAAATGTGTTCTAGAAAGAACTCATTTTGCATTGCAATCATTTATTCTTGTTTGCCAGTGCCATGAATAGAATTCTTCTGTTGATCCAGAAGATTTATGTTATCTTGGAAACTCAGCATAGATGTCTAAACTGCATTTTGTTGCAGAAATAAGGTAAATACATTTTTTACTGGTGTTATTGAGTACAAAAAAAGGGAAATCAAGTCAGTTCAGTCTCTGAGGATGTGCACTCAAAGGCAAACTAAATGTTCCACTTTAGGGGGACTTGACACTCTTGAACTCTTAACTCTGTGTCGTTGAATGATGTTTGGGGTCCACACCCCCAGCTTTGCAGTATTACTGCTTAATCAGAATCACTCATTATTTCATTTTTATCTATTCCAGGTCTGCTGGGAATACAAGATCTTTCTAAACCAGACTATGGAGATCCCGTTCACCTTCACCCTGGTGACATTCCAGTGTTTTGGGCCTCAGGAGTAACAGGAGTAGAAGCAATTATCAACTGCCGTATGTGCTGCTTAGACACTCTCTTTAAATTATCCCTCAATCTCTTTTCTCTCTCTCTCTCTGTTTTATTTTACTTTTTTTAAAAGGATACTGAATTGGCTGATTAGCAGGCTTGATTTTAGGGGAAGATTAAAAACACCAAACACCGCAAACAACAAAAAGCCTTTGGCAGGAGAGTTTTTGCTGTGAAATACAAGTCTACTTTAAAGAAAATTCCTACTGAAATTTCACCACTTTTGTGTATTTTAAACATTTAAATATACAGCTCTGGCAGCATCAAAACATCTTTTTTAGCATTATAAAAAACAAGTTTAACGGCATTAATTTTTAAGCTTCTTCCTTTTAAAATATTATTTTGTACTACATTGAAGTAAAGCAATAGTAAAGGAAAAACAGGGGGAAAAAAAAAGGAATAAAAAGAGAGAAGCCAGAAATCTTTCCAAAATGTTGTCAAGAGCTAGCAAATTGATTGACATGGAAAAGGGTTCTGAAGTGTCTCATGGAGAATGTTGAGCTTTTAGTTTTCTTCAAAATTAAGTAAATGTGACACACTTTACATAAGTGAAACTTTTTCTTCTGTACAGTTTTTCTGCACTGTGTGAAGTCATTTATGCACATATGAGCACGAAGGGCAAGAAAATGCAACAAAACCATAATAACAATGTTATATACTTCTCTAAGTCACTAGTGTGAAATGAAATACTGTATTTTTGTTCTTACTGAAAAAGAATCCTAAAAATAATAGGCAATATATTTGGGAGACCCCTGGGAGGTTATGTGCTTTGTCCTTCTCTCCTTGCAGGATCCTTGTGGTTTCTTATAGATGTTTACCTGAACTTCTGTCAACACCTGCTCTAGTATGTTCAGCTCTAAGAGTCTTTTTGCTTTCTTGCATACTTTCTCTTTTCTCCAGTCCCAAATCCATGCTGAAAATCCTACTCTTTCCTGGGTTCTTCAGCAAACCTATTTTCATCTTCCTCATGCATCCTTGTTGTAGGGAAAAGAGAGGGAAAATTTGCCAATATCTCTCTAATCTGTTGCACAAGTGGCTGTCTATCCTGCCCTTGCAGGAAGACTTCCTTGCCTGGAAGACTTTCACTTTTGTTTATTTCTATATTTTTTATAATAAAACCAGTTGTTATTAGTAGATACCAGGAAGCTTCTGGATAGTTTTTATTTTGCTGTGCTACTTTCTCAACTAGGACATTTAAAATCTGCCACACCACCAGTACCCATGCTTAGATGAACCTGCAGGCTTGTCACAAAAAACCCGTCTGCTCACAGGGTTTGGTGAGGTATGGTAAACCTCAACAACCATGTTCACCAGGTGCTTTAAGCTGCTAGCCATAGAGTCCCAACAGCTGTAGCTCAAATCAAGCAATTATGTACTTAGTAAAGAAATACCTTCTCCATTTTCACCGTCCTAACAAAGTTTTGCTTGTTTAAGTATACCAGTTATGATTTACCTAACAATGTACCAATTTTGCCAAATCAAGTGTTACCTAGATTCAGACTTTCAGAGTCAGTAAAAAGACAGGAAATATTTTCAGCTTAGGAGGCTACTGTGCTGTCAGGTCTAAAGAAGCTTATTTTTCTTCAGTACCAATTTTGCCAATTCAAGTGTTACCTAGATTCAGACTTTCAGAGTCAGTAAAAAGGGAGGAAGTATTTTCGGTTTAGGAGGCTACTGTGCTGTCAGGTCTAAGGAAGCTTATTTTCTCCAGGGTTTTAGAGGCTACTCATATTTCCTTTGCTAATGGTCCACTTCTGTCATTACTCCTTAAGCTTATTTTTCTTCAGTGTTTTAGAGGCTACTCATATTTCCTTTGCTAATGTTTACTGATCCACTTCTGTTACTATTCCTTGCCAGTTTAAATTGCCATGGTTTAACCCCAGCCAGCAGGACCAGGGAGAGAACTGGGAGAGTAAAAACTGGAAAACTCATGCATTGAGATAAAGACAGTTTTGTAAGGAAAGCAAAAGCCATGCATGCAAACAGAGAAAAATAGGGAAGTAATTCACTTCTTCCCATGGGCAGGCAAGTGTTCAGGCATTTGCACGAGACCAGGTCCCCATCACAGGACATGGTGACTTGGGAAGACAAATGCCATCACAATAGACCTTTTGGAAAGGCACCAGAGTTCCATTCTTAGGTTGCCTCAAGTTTAGACAAAAGACGACATTGTGGAAAAAACTGATCTCAACTACTCACATGAGCTTTTTAAAAGTGAAAAACATTTCAGAGGTACATGTGTACATTTCTTTCTCAAAATATATTAATTGCTCCAATGTAACTTAAAATATCACCTGTTTTTGTGTGTGTCATCAGGCAAGGACTCTGTTGTTATATTAAGTAGCTTTTTGAAATTTTATAATCTCTGTAATTTGTTACATTGCAATAATAATATTTAACTGAAGACTTTTCATTCATTTTAGGAGCTCCGTTAGCTTTTACTCATTCTCCTGACTGCACGTTCATTACCAACCTAGAGAAAAGTAATGTCAGATCCTCAGGAGGAGTCCCACAGGTCCACTGCATCTCTCAAGATCCACTGCATTTCAGCATTGTGTCAGCAGAAGCAGCCCAAAAGATAAAGACCCTAGAGACCCTAATTGGAATAGATCCAGGTATAAACAAAAACTGTCTCCCTTTTATGGATTTGTTATGGGGTAGATAGCACCTATCTGCCTTTTTAGATATTTTAAATTCAAAAACACAGTAAGACTCTAAAGGGGATTTTAAGAATTCTTTATGGAATACAGTGAGTTTATATAACTATGTCTTATATTTTCTGTTACTGTAGTTAATATCAGAGTCTGGCCAAAATCATTCATTGTGGACAATGGAATATCTGATCTTGATGACTATATGCTCCCAGAGTACACAGAAGCACACTGGAGAGTCCACAGGGAATAAGAACTGTTACTGAGTAAAACTGAAATTGGTATGTGAAGTACAGGGCACCTCAGCTTGCTGGTAACAGCTACATGGGTATTCACTATGGAGTAAATAGCACATTTCTTTACATATATTCATGACTACTGTGGTCCTACCAGAGAATTCCAGTAGCTGCATGTGTTTTTCAAACACTACTCTCTGACGGGTGGAATTATATTAACTTCTGCTGACATACCCACCACGGAAGTGTTGTATGATGGACCAAAGTGACCAGGTCACCACAGAAGGTTGAGTGGTGAGGCTGCCCGGGTGTGCAAGGAAGAGAGGGAAGTAAAGGCACACTGAGTAGTGCAGCCATTCCTAAAATACACACTGAGTTAGTCCCCTCTGGCTGCTGTAAAGTCTGAGCTCAGTGTGCCATAAATTTTCTGAAATCCTCTGTAGGCAGTAGTGGAAAACAGCTTACGCCCAGCACTCCCAAGCTCTGGGTTTGGGCTGTGTGCATACATTTGGGTCTGTTTATTTTTACTCACAAGGCCTCTCCTTTCCCACTCTCTGGAGCTGGCTTGGCATGATGCCATGCTCTGCAGAAATACAGGACCTAACTTAAAAGTTAGCTCATTTTATTGCTAAAGGAGAGTACAGTACTTTGTCTCAGTTAATATACCCCACTTCTCAGAGACTTGTATTCTGCTTATGTTAACTTTAAGTTTTCTGAACTTTTTTCTCTGTCCATTATCTGTGTATTGCCTGTGTATTATTTAGGAAGAACAGAGGGAGAAATGCCAAAGGGGAAATTGAGGACAAAAAGAGGAAAATGTGGGGGTCAGGGGAGCAAGAAGGATGAATCTATGAGTAGACTGGAAAACACCAGTGAAGACTTACCTCTATAAGCCCATCATGCTGGTACTCATGTTTTTCTTGAGTACTAGCAAATTGAAAGAACTGAGCTGTGTACTTTTTCCAAGTGATGGGAAAGGAACATGGGATAGGAAGTGTTTGAACAATGAAAGCCATACCCAGATAATAGTGTTGCCTATTTAGGGACTGACCCATGAGAAGAGACTTCTGTTAATATTCACCTATTTCTCAAGGTCTGATAACGTGGTTCTCTGCTACATGAAGTGTTACAAGAACTTCTGGTAGTCATGTAGATACCACTGTATTAACTGAGTTTATGAAGTCCCCAGGAAACTTACAGTATCTCTGAAACCTCACTTCTGAGGTCAATAATTCCATTAAGTGAAATTTATTTGGGAATTAGCTCTTCCCGAAGGGGATGGAGTTAAATAGAGACAAAGGATCGGTTCATACATCTGAAGTCTGCATCAGAACCTCTGTAAGGTCTGGGATGCTTGAGTTGCAATCTAGCTTCAGTAGCTAAGCATGGTCTAGCAGGACTGTCAAGGCAAAACAGAGGGCCTAAGGAAAGAAAACAATATGCAATAAGCTCTCAGAAAAAGCTATTTATGCTTATACCTAGAAATGCTAGGTATAATAATTTTCAAAAGCTGCAATTCTTAACCTGGAAGCACAGCTCATTGTCTTAATTACTCATATCCTAGATCTTCTTAAATTTCCTGAGGAAATTACCCCAATTCCTGCCTTGAGAACAGGTTTTTCTCTCTTTTGTTTTGAACCCATTTTATGTCACTGAAGTATGTACTTTTCACCCAGAGGGAAACTTCAGAAGGAGAGCAATCCACTGAAGCGTCCTGCTCTCTTTAAAACCTCTTGTCTAGGCCAGCGGGGTATAGGGCACCTGCGGCGCCAGGGTGAGCTGCTGGGGGCCTGCCTGGCCCTGTCGCACGCGGGCTCCGTGCTCCTCACCACGGGATTTCCCACCCACTGGAGCCACCAGCCGCCCGAGGAGAACGACGGCCCGCCGGGAGCCCTCGCCATCGCGGCCATGCTGCAGGCCCTGGGGAAGCGGGTTGCCATGGTTACAGACCAGCGAGCCATGGAGCTGAATAACAAGATTATTGAAGAAGCTGTTCAACTGGGTAAGAGACATGGGTTTTTCAGTTTTTTATCTTGCTTATTTGAGCACAGGTTTGCTTCAGTTTTAATCTGTCACTTAGTACGGGACATTTTTTTCCCCAGAGAATGAATCAGAATTCATCCTCTAAGCTCTGCTCATCGTTGTTGCAATGACATTTTGTTAACCTAGCTGGCAACAAGTTAATGTGTACATATCTAGGTACCAATTCTGGATGGGTTGCTTGTGATAAATTCTGGATGTCTGTTATTCTTGTAGATCTGCTTTCTACTTCAAGGTCCCATTTAACAGCGTTTACATCTAAACAAGTATAGGGATATCTCATCAAGAACATATGTATCTCACTTGAATTCTTACTGTTCTAGCAATTTTGCTTTTTTTTTAAAGTTACTCAAAGATACATTATTAAAAAAAAAAAAGTAGTATCTGAATTTCATTTTGCTTTCCTGTAGGAATCCTGAAGAACCCCATCCCTCTATTGAGTTATCAAAGGGAAAGTGCCAATTCAGCTTTAATGTTTTTGTGTGAGAATGGGAATCCTGGAAGACCTAGGTATGTGTATTCAGTTTTTGAGAATGGGTCACATCTCTACTATGCAAAATTATAATAAAAATAAGGACCATGGTCTAAGAAGGCACAATGGCTGCAAGTAAATCCTTAAGACTTTGAATGTACAGAACCAACTTGGAAGCCAAACACTGTTATTGGAGCATACACAGAGTACAGAATTCCACATTACTCTGCAATTATGTACTTCTGGAGTACAAAAAAGAAACAATTCTTAATATATCAATAGTCCTTTTCCTTCAAAAAATGTCTAAAATATTTTCAGCTGTTATTGTATAAATATATATCACACACTATATATTATTTTACCAATTTTTAAATCAGTGAGAAGATCAAAAATTATTATATCAAAGTCAGTGAAAGAGCTAAGAAAAGTGTGCTATGTAAAGTGTGTATTTTCTAGAGCTTTAGCTCTAGTCTGACAGCTAGGGAATCTGATCTGACTTAATAAAATGTCATGTGTTTGTAATGGTGTGATTAGGGTAAATGCACTGGAGAATTTGCTAAGTAGCTGTATCTCATTTCATTACTTAGCATGCAACTTATATTTCCTTGAAGTAGGCATACATTGCTCATTTTTATTGATCTTTCCTTGTAAAGTATTTTAATATAGTTGCCCGCAGTTTGCATTCTTTAATAAAAAGATCTTTCACCCTGGTATTTCCTTCATTAACTTATTGAATTCCCATTTCTTTCCATAGGTTAGTGTGAACTGTAATATTATGCATGATACTGTCTTCATTTTTTATGTGTTGTTTTAAAAATTTCTTTTATAGCTATGCTTAATTAAAGTACAGGCAGATTATATTTAAATTGGTCCCTTAGTCCCAAAAGGCTGAAATATTTTTTTAAAGTAGGCAACTAACCTGCTAAAGGTCTCTGGAATCACTGTAGATACCCACCCACAAGAACATTAAGTAATTCAGCAGAATTAGTAACCTCTTAAGAGTAAAATCAGAGAAACAGAAGCAAAATAACTCAATTCTAACCTACAGTGCAGAACTGAGTACTATAGCTCTACTTAAAATGTGGGACAGCTGCAGTACATCTGTCTACTTTCATAACCAGCAAAACAGCCATGGACTTAAAAATAAATCCTCCAAATCTAAAGATCCAAACATTGCCTAACTAGAAACAGATGAATATTTGCCAAGCAATGCACTTTAAGCAGAGAATATATTTGCACTAACAAGGATTTAGATGATCATTAATTTTCCACTTTTTTTGCTTTCTTTGAATGCACTTCCAGAAACTAATATTTTACAGGATACTGTCTGTTTTAACATGAAACAGAGCCAGGCCAGATGGCTGACCCAAAGGATTGCTGGCTAGGAGGATTGCAGGAACTTCTCCATTTCTTGGTAGCAAATGTGATTTGGAGGAGTTGCACTAAAGCCATTAAAAAATACCTAAGCTAACCTTTGGAAAAAAACCCCATAGACAACTACATTGAGAAATAACAAAACAGTGTCCAAGTTTTACCTTGAATCCCAGATGGTCAAAAAGTAGAACCAAGCACAAGCAGTCAACAGAAGTATTTTTCATGTGAAAATCACAGCTTTGACTTCTTCCCTCTGTCTTTTCACTCACCTCTAATCAGATTTGATCACCTGGTGGCAATAGAGCGTGCTGGGATGGCTGCTGATGGCAATTACTACAATGCCAGGAAAGTGAACATTAAACATCTCGTGGATCCCATAGATGAACTATTTTTAGCTGCACAGACCATTCCAGGAATCACAACAACAGGTAAGTGTGAGTTTGTGTGTTGTTCTCAGAAGCAAGAGAAGCACAGAGCAGGAACTCTTACTGGTAGTGGAGGGGAGCAGGAGGCAGGTGCTGAGTGGCTGCTTTCAGGCTGCAGGTGTTTGTTGGGATTGGATTTGAGGGCACCGTTGCTGGAGAAAAATTACAAGTTTCTATTGAAGGATTCTCACAGCCAAAAAAAAAGAGAAAATATTTTATTTCAAAGTTATTTAAGGACAAAAAAAAACCAAAAAAGCAAGCCCAGATGTATTACCTATGCATAAGTCTAAGTACATACACTCTAAGTGCAGTTTTTGGTAGTGACTTTATTCTGTATTTTTTGTGTTGAAGGCAACATAGAACATAAATGGTTGTTGGATGGTAACATTCCTTTTTAAAATATTGGTTTTATGATTGTTGCACCTAAGTTAAAACAGCAGTCTGGATAGAATCTTTGTTTCTATTGTCTTTAGCAGTACATTCCTTTAGGCAGGGATTACATATTTGCATCTGTTAAAATCCTGCCTTCTCCAGCAAAATCCGTGTGTACAGTAAGAACCTTGAGAGGAATGCTTGTCCTTCCCACCAAAACACATTGGCCTTTGCTAATACTTTGAATGAGAATGCTTTTGTCAACTTGCTGCTTCTCTCTTTAGGCAACAAACTTTATTTTCTTGAAAACCTATTTATATCTGGTTTGGAAAAAATATGCCATAGACCATTGTATAACATCCTTGTACAATCAAATGCTTCCTGCTATCATATGTGGCCCAAATGAGAGTTTTGGAGATATATAATCTCTATAAATATTAAAATCAAATTAGAAATAAGTACCCATGCCAGACTGATTTCTGTCACTTCAGAACACATCTGCTGATTTAGCTTTTTTTCTTCTTATAGTGGACTCACTCCTATGTATTACCAAAAGCACGGGAACTTTGGCTGCTCAGTTTTGTTGTTTTTCAAATGTTTCCACAAAATTTAGAGAGCTTCTGCAGAGATAATGCATGATCTAATTTCACTCTCTTGGTATCATTTAAAAGCTGTGTAGCAGAGGACTTCACTGATATTAGTTATTATTATAAAATTTAAAATACTTTGTATTTAGATCTAATTTGGGTTTTTTTTCTATTCAAAAGATGTACCTTCCAACATTCAAAAGGAAGCACTCTAGATGGCACTGTCTTGGCAATCTCAACAGAGGACAAAGATTGAATAAGTATTATATAGGAAAAGCTCTGTTTTGTAAAGATGTCTAGCAAATGCCTCAGAGCTTCATCTGCTGCTGTTAGTTTCAACTCCTATCCCTGATTTTAGGTTGTTGTTACAAGAATTTGATCTCTCCAGCTACTTACATAACATCACAACCTGATTCCTTTAGTAAAAATACCCTAATCTCTTCAAATATCTCCCACAGCAGCTCAGAGTATATTAATTTGTTGGAGTTTGAATTGTTCTGCCAGCTGAGAATTTGAATCTATTCAGCAGAATGTAGTTTGTTTCAAACATTGTCTAAATATTCAAATATACTATGAAATGTCATTAATAAAAAATACCACAGGCTTGTGAAAAAGAAGAAAAGCAGTTATTCAGATTGTGAATAACTGCTGTGAACTTTATCTAAAGAGATTTCTGCATAGAAAATGGCTTAACAAGTCAGAGGCTTTAAAGGACAGTGAAGGGATCTGCTCTGCTCTCCCATGGCATTTGTGTAAGTGGATTTTCTGCTCTGGAGAACTAACTGGGAGTCTATAAGAAAGCAATGTAATTGTTTCTTACATTGTCTGTTACCTAGTTAACATTTCTTGTTTTGTTTATCACATTATTTTTTTCTGTCTGTTATTTTAATTGGGTAGCAATTTCTTGGGCTGGATGTTGGGTTTTTCAATGTGTTTCTGCCAAGTGTAGTTTAACTTGGCCACTGTGGCCTTTGTGTTTGTCTCATTACTGATAGCAACGTGTTGCTACTGATGAGGATAATTTTTTTTCTGGTGGGGCTGTCTTCAACTTTCTTTATGGTCAGTAGGAATTTGGAGGCATATGACTAGTTCCACAATAAATGAAAATATTGCACAGAATTAGGGTGGAGTACTTGAATAACCTTATAGGCTAGAATACCAGAAAGATCAAGTTTTCAGCCTACAGAAATTCTTTATATAGTGTGCTCCGTGGCAAGAAGCACTGTGTCAGTAGGTGGAGAGGGGAAATGTTAGAACATTTGTTACATGCTGATTAATTGCTGTCAAGTGTTGCATTTAGAACAAGATCTGTGGGTTTTTTTTTAAAAATCTGATCTGGTAGTTTGACCACAGACAAAGCATGAGCAATACCTGCAATTGTATGGGTACTGACATGCTAAAAACTCAGGGAGTGAGGAGCAGCCTTGAGGAATTCACAGAGTAAGAAGACATGAAAGGGTGAGTTTGGAAGGGACTCATTTTCCACATATGTCTGAAATAAAAGATTAAGAAATGTTACTGGAACCACGTATTATTTTTTTCAGCTGTCATACAATTGACATAGCTATATTCTATTTATATAGGAGCTAATTAAAAGCTTTCCAAATTACTGCATGAAAAAATGGGGTCACACATTTTCCTTTCATACAGAAGATTTTTAGCTCAGAAGACTGACATCTCCTGCATATTTCATGAATGTAGTTTCAGAAAACAATGTAGTCAGTGGGAACTTGTATGAAGGATCCAGCAGAACTATTTTTCCTTTGCCTGGAAAGAAATGGGGCCTTTAGAAGAGGATTCATCTTGCCTATTTTCAGACATCTATATTTGAGATGTCTGCCTTGGGGTGAGATGAACTGAATGTGTGAAGGGAGTGTTTCTTTCTGCTGACTTTAAAAGCAGCATAGCTGGCTGGCTCAGGGGTGGATGGCTGAGTGTGCACAGGTGAATTTCACTCTGGAGATCTGCAGTAAAATACAGTTCTCCTGAAATGTATGGAGGAAGAAGAAAACAGATGGGAGAGGAGACTTTTCAGTGGGGTGTTCTTTTCCTCCCAGTGTCACACAAATGGGATCCATCCACAGCAATAGATCTACTCCTTGTGCAGCCATCCTGGTGGCAGGACTCCCACAAAGACAGGAAAAGCAAAGCAGGGCAGATAGAAAAAGCCCTGAGCAATGGATATATTTCAGTTAAAGAAACTGTTGGTTAATTTCATGGGACAAGAATTCATCTCAGCCCTGTTAAAGAATGTTAAGAGCAAAAATTTTAATTTTGAGTATAAGAAAAAGCAGAACATTCTGTGTGATTCTTACAAAGCAGTAGAACATCCATATTTCTATATAAGGATAGAAGCACCAGATTATATCAATACCTGTTTGAAAAGTACTGCCAATAAAGAGATTTTCAAAAGCACCATTAACTCCCAATGGTGAAATAAATGTGAGTAGATTATTAAAGCAGACAAAAAAGAGTAGCTGTTCCATGGCAAATCCTTTTATGTAAGCTGTGTGTCACTCAGTTACACCCTACTTGACTGGATAGACTTAAGGAATCAAATAAAAATTGCTGCTGAGAAATAACTTTGCATTTCACTTAAAGAAGAAATTTGCTACAGACACATGAGATATTTATGCAGTTACTAAAAGTGTTAAAATTACCAGTTTTCAGGCCTTGAAGTGTAAATTATAAATATTGTAATTTCTCCTCTGTAACACATACTATGCATTAGAGCACAGTCACATTTTGAATTCAAATCTGATACATCCCAGTGAGGACTTGGAGCTCTTCACTGTTCTGTTTCACAGACATGGTCAGAGATTTTTCTATAAAATCTTCAAATTGAAAAAGATGCCATTCAGACTAACAGATGAAAGAGACATTTTAATTTCCAACTAAATAACAATAATAATTTATTAATAATGATAAATAATAAATTATTTCAATATTTTTAATATATTGGTAAGAGACTAGAGGTACTATCCAGCTTTTGTAAACTGCTAGTTTATATGTTACCCTCATCTCCTGTATCTAAATGATATCTGACAACTTTATGTCCTAAATACCGGGTTGCCTAGAATTTTCCTGAAATTGCAGAGATCCCACTGATTTCACTAAAAACACTAAGTCAAATACACAGTATTTCTATTTGTGCAACAAAAATCAAGGTACCACATCCAGTATATAAGAAAATTAAAATTAATAAAGACTAGCTATTTTTTTGGTGACTGTGAAAAATGAGAACAGTAATAGTATATAGGGCTGTGCTCTTTGTGTACTGCAGCACGTCAGTGATTTGTGTCAAACAGATGGGCAGTGCAGTCAGGCCTGCTTCTGCCCAAATCCTTATGTATACTTTTGCTTGTCTTCCTGCAATACTTGTTCTTTCTATTCTGTTTTTTTAAAGCTTGTAACAAGCAATCCAAAGCTTTCTATGCTTTCTTTATCATAGGATTGTTGGCTGATTTCTCAGGTGGATTTGGGTTTAATTTTCTATCTTCTTTATTTGTGTTGATGTACTTGTGATAACACATTATGTAGAACACTCATGCAAATCCTTCCAGAAGCAAAGTTCACTGTCTTGATTCTGTCTGCAGTTCACAACCACTTGATAACTTTGATTTCTTTTGTGTGCACACAGTGTACAGTGTACATTGCATGATAAACTTAGAGGTTGGCATGTAATAGATGATGCTTTCAGCTATTTCATTTGTAGTCTTCTGTTCCTAGGTGCTGTGGATGAAAGATGATAAACCATCTCATATGCAGCTATGAACTATCACAGCAACTGTGGGGAAGAAATGGGATGTTTCCTAAAGGGATTGTCAGTTATATGCTGTGCTCATACTCATTTTGTCTTTTTCTCTTTCATAAAGGTATTGGAGATGGAGGAAATGAACTAGGAATGGGCAAAGTAAAAGATGCTGTAAAGAAGCACATAAAAAATGGAGATGTTATAGCTTGTGATGTTGAAGCTGATTTTACTGTTGTAGCTGGTAAGGGATTTTTGGTGGGGTGGGACAGTAGCTGATATTTGAGAATAGAACTGACAAGGAAACATTTGTCTTTCCAAGTAATTTTTATTGGCTCTTTCCAAGTCATTCTCAGCAAATTGATCTATCTCTGTATTATTATCTCTGTACATTTTCTGAAGCGTTAAGCGCGTGTTGCTTCAGAAGAACTGACTGAAAATTGAGAATGTTCCACGAACAAAGTGCACTTAATTGGAAATATTTGGGAAAATCCTGAGTATTTTTGAAAGACCACACATTATATAAAATAGTAGAACCATAGAATCCTAGAATGGTTTGGGTTGGAAGGGACCTTGAAAATCATCTAGTTCCTACTCCCCCTCCCAGGGGCAGGAGGCCTTTCACTAGAGCAGGACACTCAATTACAAATGTTAATAAGGAAGACTGCAGAAGTGATCTGTGTGGGAATTAAAATGCCTGTGCACATACAAATTTTCAGTGTAATTGATAAACTTCTATTTAGAGTGTGCCCCTATCAGGCATAAATTAGTCACATTGCCCCTTTACAAAGGGATAAGTTCTATCAATAATCACTCAAGGACAAATGTACATTCTTAATGTTCTCGATGTTCAACAAAAGTTGAATGTTACAGTTAAAATTCTGTTTTACACCAGCATGAAATAAAATTCACAGTGAGAGAGAGATGTTCAGCACGGGCCAGCTTACGAACAGGATGGTGTGTACTGTGCTTGGGCTCGGGTCTGTTCTCACTCAGGTGTCTCTGACAGCTCTGGCACAAGCAGCGGGTTTGTGCACTTGGTGCTGACGGTGCCTCTTTGCAGGGGTCTCTAACTGGGGTGGCTACGCCGTGGCCTGCGCCCTGCACGTGCTGCGCTGCTGTGACACCCACGGGCGCTACCTGCGCAGAGCCCTCGGCCTCCCACGCGCGCCCGGCCACAGCCGCTGGCTGCCCTCCGTCCCCAAGGTAACTCTGGGCACAGGGGCTCAGGGACAGGGAGGTGGAATGGCTGGCAGCTGCTGGGTGCTGCCCTCTTCAATACCTCACTGCACAAGGTCTTCGGGCACTTCTGGGGGCTCCTTGGGAAGGAGCAGCCGCACTCTCCTTAGACTGCTTTCCACAAAGGATTCGAGACAGAGTGCAAATAAAAATCTTCCAATATAAATGTGTTCATGTCTTGTAGCATCAAGCAGAAGACAGTGCTACAATTTTATAGGCAATTAAAGAAATCCTTGGATTGAGATACAGTGATTAAAATTCCCTGTTTGCTTCCTTAGTGTCATTCATGATTTTATAACCCTCTGTTGTAGTGTCCTTTAGATGTCTGCTTCCAAAATCAAAAGTCACTGTTCTTATACAGTAGCCACTCCATACTTCTGATCTTTGTACCTTACTTCTGATCTGCCCCCTGTTCTAGTTTGCTGGAATCTTTCTACAATTAGTTTTGAATGTTTCTAAATTAAAGTTGGAGGAAAACTTGTACATGAATATTTTTAAATGTGTTTTGACTAATGCAGCTCTGTACAGTGTGATATTCTGGGAATGCAAAGGTTTCAGACTGAGAAAAAGCAAAATAAGTGAGAGGGGTGAGAAATGACTCTGATCTGTGCTCATCCTGCTAAGCACGTGCCTCTATTTTTAACTTGACAGTCGTTAAAAAAAAATCTGTCTATACACACACACACACACACACACCCCCCTAATGATTAAGTTAATGATTAAGTAAGATTTGCTCCACAACTCTGCAATAAATAAGGAGCTTCAAGATTTCAAGATTCAGCTTTATTAGCTGAGATTTGGACAAACCCATTAAGTGTGTGACGTCCAAGGATGCTAAGCAAAATGCAATCCATCTACCTCAGCTACTGTCCAAAACAAAGAAGTTTGTCTCCTGAGATGATGGGACATTCTGCATGAAATTCCAACAAAGCACCTTTTATATGTTTTAGAGTAGACCTCACTATTTTTTTTAAATTCTTGCTATCTTAGTTTTTCATCTAAAAGTCATAAAACTGAAACTGATCCCAACACTTGGCATAGCCATATAGCTTAACAAAGCTTATATGGCCCTTTTCAACACACTCTTTTTTTATAAAACAAATTAATTATTTTTCAGTTTTCAATGTTTTTTCCAGTTGCATCTACTGGTTTTTGACCTTTAAATTAATGCATTCTAAAATGACTGTGATCAAAATTCCTGGTAATGAGATACTGTAATTAAATGTTATATTGTGTACAGGAAAACCTTGTTTTTGTTTTACTAAGCTATACAGCTGGGAATATTAATGATCCAATAATGGGCTACTGAAAGTGCAATACTAAAATCTGTTGAGATAAAATTAATGGAAACAGTTTTGTGGAGGAGAGAAAATGACAAAATGTCTGACAAGAAAATATGATATCTTTAATTATAAATCACACAACAATGAACAGTGCAGAAGATTGAATACATTAGTATTCACGTAGTCCATTAGTATAAAAAATCAGACCATTTGTGTTTATATGGCTACTTTCTGCAAAATTCAGCTTCATTTAATGCTATAATAATTACCCTAGTGAGAGAAAGAGCAACACCACACAGATCCATCTTGGTGTTTATATTTGTGATTGTAATTGGAAAGAGGACATTTGAAGGAGTCCCTTAGCACCAGAGAGCTTTCCTATAATGTGTTTTATTTTTCTTCAAAAAATGGCACTTCCATGAATGCTGCAGGTCATAATTACTAAGTGAAGACTTCCCCTGAAACACCAACATTATTTCCCTTCAGGCTGGTGTTGAAGCAGTGTCAGGATTGCACTGCCAAACCCCAGAACTGCAGAGCTCTCCCTCCCCACTGAACAGCAAACTCAAATTGCCCTGAGTTCATGTGTGAGCCTTTCCACACCACGAGAGATGCTGCAAAGCATTTGTTCTGTGCTGAGAGCTGCAGGAGCAGCAAACAACTGGACCTCAACAATCTCTTTACCTTTATCTTTGCTTACCTAATCATTTGATTATGGTATTGGCTTGGTTTTTCAGATGTTCATAGTACTTTTACACCAAAGTGACTGTAATGAAATTAATTCATTCATACATATCCAAATGTAGCTAATGCTAAACATATTACAGTCAACTCTGCATTTTATTGCATCTCACAAACAGGTTAATATATAAAGCATTTCTTCTCTTATTGAAGTCTTTATTAATGGCAACATATTACCTGTATAGTGTTTTTAATTATGAACTATAAGAATATTAATTATATTATAAATATACATAGGTGTGACATTTTTATTGTGCTTTATTAGCTTTGTCATTCATAAAGAAGCTTTCCCCCTTGAATAAAGCACAAACTAACATGATATTTTTCTATTAATATGATTATTTTTCCAGTTACCCACTCCCAACATAATTATTTACTAAAGAGAAAGCTGTGGTCAAATTGCAGCACTGTACAGCTAAGGAAGCATGCTATACATTGTGTTTGTTTATTACAAATGGAAGCTGTAGCATTTTATGGCAAGCTATGGTTTCTCAGGCACAGTTATGTAGTATTAAGCAAGCAAACTTTTTTACCTCATATAAGCAGACCAGAGAGCTCTAATATGTAAATATGTAGCACAAACTATTCGCATTAGAGATTACATTTTGTGTATCCAATTTAGGTGTCTCGTGTGACAGGAGAGATCTCCTTTGCCCTTTTGCATTTGGGTACACTCAGTGCTAAGAGAAACCTCTGTTGTGCAGAAAGATCAGTTGTATATATTTGCATTTATGTATATGATCGTTTATATGATATAAACCGATGTGCATTTATAATTTTATTAATTATAAAGTAGCAAATTTTAAGCTACCAGTGTATCCAGATAATTTCCTTAAATAGCTGTGTCACTGCTGACACCATGTAACTATGCATATTTTTCCTTTAGTAGAAAACCAGAGCCTCATTTAATTTTGTTACAGCTAAGAATTAGGATGAATTACCAGGAAATAAAAGACAGATCTTTAGAAAGTACGTTCACAGAGCAGGTTACAAAATTAAACTGAATTGATCACGCAGGGCATGCTTTGCTTCATTCAGAAATTACTATATTTTGGCCATTTTACCATTAGGTAAAATACAACCATATTGTGTCTCAATTCAGATCCACAGCTAATGTATTCTTGGTGGTTTAGGAGTGTTCCTAGAAAAAGTGCTAACATTTGATAAGAGAAAATTAGATATTTTAACGTTACTTTTTTTTTTTCATCATTCATGTGTCCAGGAGATAAAGAACTTCTAGGTTAGTGTGTGGTAATGTTAACTATGAAGTGTTAAAACCTAGAGAGCTCTTTGTCAAGGACACTGGCAGGATTGTGGCAGTAGCAATTTGCATGGAAATGGCACAGTAGACAAAGCCCAGAAAGGGCTTTCCTAGTAAAGAAAGAGAGGAAAAGATAGATAGGTGAGTGTTTCAAGGTCTTATATAACCTATCACAGGGCTGGCATAGGGAAACCTAACAAGTGACCAGGTTTTTAGTTTTCTTAGACTTTCATTAACAGAATTCAAGGAATAAATTCTCACTACAGTAAATGCTAAAAACCAGGAAGTTTTACTGTGTACATTTCATGGCACATGAAAAGCAGTGCAGCTTGTGCCAGACATACATTCACTCGAAACCAGATCTTCAAATTTCACTGTTCCCTGTGTTTTTTTCAGAGCTCATTTTATCCCATCTTTTCATCTCACAATGCTAACTGGTCCATAGCTCACAAAAAATTATTTTGTTCCTTCTGTGTAGTTTTACAGCTCAACTTGGAACACGCTTTGTTATGTGCTTATATTAGTTAAGCAAGAGCATAAGTGTAGTTCTAAACAAAGCATATGCTAGTTCAGAGCATGCCAAGGAAGCACAATTTCCAAGGCTGTTTTTTCCTCACTCCTTCCCTAAGCAACCAGAATTCTCATAAAATCAATAATGAGAAGGGAAGAGAGGGCCAAAGGCACAGAGAGATCAGAGAAACTGCAGGAAAGGATAGTGAGTGTGCAGCCCATCCCAGGTGCTCTCTGTAACCTTTTTTCCTGGTGCACCCTCCTTCCCTTCTGTCTTTTTCTATAAAATTGCAGCTGCAGCCAGCTGCCTGGCTGGGGAAACCACTGATGGATTTTTGAGATACTTTGAGTGGAGGTTCCTCTGATTCTGATTTGTGCAATATAGGAACTTGAAACCAAGCAAAAATTGATTTTTCTGAATTGACACTAATGCTCTGTTGGAGGCAGTGTGGAGAAAAAAAATATTCAGTGGTTAAATAGCAGTCAAGATTATAAACCATCTGACACTCCCAGAGCTCCAGCTGCTAAACATATTCTTTGGGACAAGATAGTACTTGCAAGTTGATGGCAAAATAAATATGAACGATTTGGGCAGTCTCTCCCAGAATTAAAACAAAGATCTTGATGACTGCCCTTGTCTGATTCAGAATTTTAATTATACTCTGTTTCTTTGTTTTTCAAGGAAGAAAAGCTTCTGAAAACACTTGTGCAGCTCGGGGTCCGCAGTGGCATAACTGCAAGTCTGGTGATGGAAGTGGATGGGCTGCCCTTCTACAGCACCCATTCACTCATGATTGAGCAGCTGCTGCAGGAAGCACAGCAGTGACTGCCCCTAATGATTTCTACATGAAGAGTTGCTCCCATGTCATTCCCTTATTTTTGAGGCTCTCTCAAGGTGTAAAAAATCAGGAAAAGATGACTTTTTATCTCTGGACCACACACAGCCTTTCATTGTTATCTTTACAACATCTCTGTGAAACAAGAAGAGGATATCATCCACTTGGTTTGCCTTTCTTACCTTTCTTTTTTGTAATTTTATAATGGAAAATTGAATTTTGTATTTTTATAATTTTATAATGGAAAATGAATATTAAATGATATTATATAATAAGGGGTGATCTGGCTTTTACAATGAAAGCATGAAATTACAATGAGCTATGATTGCACTGCTGTTCTTGTTTTACTAACCTCATAACTGCAACAGGAAGTAACTCTCATAGCAACTTGGATTTAAAAATACTTGTGGTGAGGAAAACAGCTACAGTAGAGAGGAAGATTCAAAACAAAACTGCAGCGTTACAGTAGTGAGAGCTGCATTGCACACTTCCTGTAGCCCCCTCTAACACGGTGTTCTTATGGTGGGGGATAGTTTGTGAAGTGTGAGGAGAGAAGGAGAAAATTTTAACTGAGCTAATGAAAATAAGGGCAGCATTGCAGATCTTCCATGTAAAGCATTGCAGATCTTCTGTGTAAAGGGTTGGCTGTGCCATTACCCCCTTTCGTGTTAGTAATTTGCCACTTACATATTTTGCCACTTTATGCATAATAAAGTTGTAGACATTTCAGAGTATCCTGTTCTTACCAAGAAATTAATTTAATACAAAAATAATGATTAAAACTAATGATTAGAAATTAAAGTATGATTAGAAAGGAATAAACATTTGCATTCATTATGAAATAACATTATGTAAATAAACTTTAACATGAATTCGTGTTGTAGAAGTTCAGCTCCTGACAAGACCAAGTGAAGTAACATTGAATTTTATCCCATAGGATTACTAACACTGAAGCAGTAAGTGACAAATGGTTGTGAACTGTGCCCAGCTTTTGTCATTTAAAGCTGTAATTTTACCTTAACTCCAGGTGAGTGGCAGCACTACAGCTCTGCTGGCTGTCAGCCCTCCCAGCAGAGAGAGGAGGGTACATTTGACCACCCCTAGAGCACTGGTGCTTTACCTGTCATAAAATGGAAGTTGCCTTTAGTTGGACTTTCAGCAGCGAGCACACTTTTTATCTCTTTTCTTCCTGGCAGGTGAGTTTTATTTTCCTTCTTGGACGCAAGACAAACAACTTTTTCCGAATGAGAAAAATAATTTCATACCACAAACACCAGCATATTTTGAACATTAATCTCCTGAGGATACAGAGCCTTTAAAGATGTAAAATAGTTGAACACATGACAGAAAAAAATCTTAATGCCAGACTTCTGCTAGACGTTTAGGTTTATCAAAGACTCCAACGTTTATTTTCTATATAGATCAGTCCTTTTATTTTAGATTAATTTTATCTAAAACTTACGCAAAGGATGATCCAGAAAAGTATCTTGGAAGTTTAACAATTAGAAATATCTCTTTTAGGAGTCTCCAAACTCCAAATTAAGTAAAATACTTCATATGAATGCTTGAAATTTTTGCCAAAGCCAGTAACCCTGCAGGATGGTATATGTTCACTGCTGCACAGAACTCACAGGAAGAAATTGGCATCATTTTAAAACAAGCAGCTGATTTTATTCTCTCTGCGCTACTGACATGTTACACTAACAGGTGCAATGTATTATTTCCAAGCACTAACTTTTGTCAGAAAATTTAATTTAGTAAGCTTTTGCTCTTTTTTTGCCCTAAAATACAAGTCTTAACAGTCAGTTTTCATTAAGAAGTACAAAATACAATAATTTATTTCTCTTTTACTCAAGTGTGTGCTTTTAAAATGCCTTCTTGTGTGCAGTCCCAAGCATGGCATTTACTTCAATAGCATGTGTAGCATGTCTCTAGCAAGATGTGCTTGAGACCTTAGCTTGAGACCTCAGGACCCTTGGGTGAATGTGTTTTGACTGAGATGGAAGGAAAAGCTCTGAGTGGGAGTTACCTTCCTGCTGTATTGGTTACACTTTGCAGTCTAAGCCAAACAGTTACAATACAGAAAGAATTGATAAAATATTGGCTTCAAGAAAAAAAAGGGGAAAGGAAGAAGAAAATCCCTCCTTTCTGTTCTGGGTTAGCAGGTTAAGTGCTGGGAACTGGAGCAGAATGCTGCACTGTGTTACACAAGTTTCCAACTGATTTTAAACTGCAGCAGCTGACCAAAGCTGACCACATCAAAGTTCCAACTCCACTGAGCCTTAATCCCTCAGATGACAATTCCATGTAGTACAGCATGCTCTGCATTCCAGCTAATTTAAACAGCATGGGGAACTAGAAAGAAGCAACACATAAACACAACAACAAATATTTAATCCTGGAACAAACCATGTGTGCCTTGCAGCCTGACAGGTCGTGCGGGTCCCAGGAGCTGGTGCTTAACAATGTACAAGCTCAGCACTCCAGGGAGGGAGTCCCTGCCTTACGACCCCCTTGGAATACACAGCAGATGAGATGAAAGATTAGGAGAAAATAAAGCTAAACAGTGCTAATAGTCAGGAGAAAAAAATGCAGATGTGAGGTAATTAATCCAGCTAAGTGGTCAAAATATAAAGAAATGTAAAATAATTAAACAAACCTAATGTTAGCCTAAGCAAACCTAATCCTCTCTTGGGACTGGGAACACGAATCCTTTCTGCAAAAGGAGGGAGGAGAGGATCTGTAGTCTCACAAATAGAAACTTTGTGCCAAAGATAAAGATAGTTATTTCAAACATGGTGTGAAAAACTATAAAAAGAAAATTATAAAAACATTCTTTATTAAACACATCCACTAACTATATCCACTATTGCACTCTCAAGGTGGTTTCCAGAAAACTGTTAGAATATGTTCCTTTTGGAAACTGATGACAAGCAAGGCTGTGTTACAATGACATATTCAGATAGCAGGAGTAGACCGTCTGTCTAGACAATCTTTTGACTCAAAAGCAAACCAAAGAAACAAAACTGACTGTACTGCTGGAAGTTATCAGTTCTGGGATGCAGAGAGGTGTTTCAAGGAAACACCAGAGAATTGAAAGGACAAGGCAATATTCACGGTGTAACAGCTACAGGTAAAAGGAGGTGTGATAAGCAGATTGCAAAGAAAAATCACACAGGATTCATTTGTGCAACAAAAAAGCCCTAAGAAACCTAGAGAGGAGGTGGTGGTAGAAACAATACTGTGGAGCACAACTCCCAGGTTTTTAAAAGTCATTATTCTCCACTTCTATATTTTGTTTCTGTCTAAACCAGGACACAGATCATTCATACATCATATTTCTGATACTGTATTTACTGAACAATGACCAAACCCTAAACTATATTATCTGAGGGCAAAACCACGGTTTAAACAGAATTCTTTCAACAGTTTCCCTGACAAATGCATTGTTATTTAATTGCCTGCATGGTTTGTGCTGCACAAGATACACAAATTGCAAAGGACACAATCAAAACCTTAGCAAGGTGTAGTAAAATTTAGATGTAAATACACATTCTTGAACATAGGGACTCAGAGAAGCACATAGGGTCAAAATGCCTCACTTACTACCAACCTCTTGTTCTCTTCTGAGTCAGCAAACCAAGTTTTTGACACCCACTGGAGCCCAGTCTCCTACTTCCAGAAGTCTCTAGGAGCCTTACCATGAGGTCTAACAGTCTGAGGCTCAACAGTGAAATAGCAGCCTGAAGGTCTCAGCAGGTGCTGAGCTCCTTGTGCATGTTCTCCCATAATGTCTTAGGAATCTGGTTCTGGTGTGGCCTCTGCAGGCTTTGAAACTTGCAGAAGGAGATGTTATTTCAGAGAGTTGCACAGATATTGCAGAAGTGTTTATTGGGCGCTTTTTTAAAGTATATATGGAGATATTATTTTTTTTTTGTCTCTGACCTTTTCAACAGATGATGACAGCTTGTAGAGAATTACTTTCTCTAGATGCTACAGGGGCAAACAGAAAGCAGCTAAAGACGAGTTCACCAGAACTACACACTGTGAGTACTGGCTTATTGCAGTCAGTGCAGTCATCAAGACAAACAGGTCTTAAGTGGCAGCACAACAGATATGTGATTATAACTGAACTGACTTAGCACAAACTTTCCTCGCTATTGCCAGCGTCCAAGCACTTCTAGAAACAGCTTCACTGGACAGCATTGCTCATAACCCTTTGGGAGGTCACACTGCTGTAATACATGAAAAATTCAGACAGACACACAAACATGGTCATCCATAGCTGCAGGTGTAGGATTATGGTCCTTTTGATTAATGCTATAGGCTGTCTCCATTAGTTGTGAAGCAGTCCTTCATTCCAGCACCATCAAGTGGTATTTGTAATAACCCTGGTTGTTGTTCATGCTGTTCTCTGTTGGGAGTTTCAGTAGTGTTTAGTGGATAGGATTCCTTCGTCTCAGTACTCAGATGGCCTAAACATGTTAGACAAGAGTCTCTCATCTTGACAAAGTTCTGGTAAGTGCTTTCACTGGAAAAACAGTACAATACTGGGTCAGCAACACAGTTGAAAGTAGTTAACAGGAGAGAAATATGGTAAACATTAAATATTTTCTCAGCAAATGAGCAGCTGTTCTCCAACAAGCTACGAACTACAAGTAGGATGTGGTACGGTCCAAAGCAGACTAAAAATATGAAAACAGTGCTTGATACCAGTCTTTTAATTTGTATTTTCTTCTTCTTCTGGGTGCCAGGACTCTTGTGGACAACTCGTAAAATCCCACAGTAGGAGAAGGCCAGCAGAAAGAGGGGGAAAAGGAAGCCAGCAGAGAAGCGATAGTAATTGACATTGTGCTCCCATTTCTTGATGGGGTAATGCTCAAAGCACACCAAGTGGCTCTCAGCATCCATGCTGATCTCCCCGTGTGTGAAGACAAAGCAGCAGGTGATAATTTCTTTGGCCCAGATGATGCTGCTCACAATGGCAGCAGCCTTCATGGTCCGGAAGCGCTGGAAGCGAAAGGGATGCACCACGGCCAGGTAGCGGTCGATGGAGATGCAGCACAGGAAGCCCACGCTGATGTAGATGTTCTCATACAGGATGATGCCACAAACTTTGCACAGCAGCTCATCGTAGGTCCAGTTGTCATGCTGTAAAGCATACTGAAGCCAAAAAGGCAAAGAAAATATGTACAGGAGGTCTGCTATAGTCAAATTGC